TACCGTATGTCCACTGTCTGTACTTGTAGTCCACGTGGTGTGATGTATGTGTCCCTCATGTCACCTTGTCTGTCTTTTAAAAAAAATTAAAAAAATAATTAAAAAAATAATAACTAGTTTTAGAAATAAATGTTGACATTTTTGCCCATTTCGAAGGCCACATAAATTCAAAATTTGTTAATTATGCATTTAAATTCTTATAGTAAAAAAATACACCTACTGGCCCTGAAAACCAGTTGTTTCAAACAGCTGCTTCTACGAGTGATAGGGTCCTCCATGGACACCTGAACTTTGACTGTTGCTTATTTTGTCATGCATATTTAATGTTACAGTTAATATTATAGAGAAATACTTAAAGTAAGGGCCTCTAAGTCAGTGCAGTAGATCATGAGATCTGACATTAAGAAATCGCTAACTTTCCACCCAATTTCATTTTAATCTCAAATCAGGTTTTTGAGATTTTCTGCTAACTAGCAAACCTACTCTAAGGAGGTTACATTTTTGAGGTGCGGTCATGTGAATATTTACACCTTTCACATATAAAATCAAATACTGCCGCTTGGTTAGTCTAAGCTAAATATGCTACGTCTAGTTAGACATTCAAAATAAAGCTTGCATTGTTAAAATGAAACGGTCACACTTGGTTAGCTTTAACCACAGAAACTACTTGGTGAGGTCTAGGTTTGACTTCACTTGGAACATGAACAGTGTCTCCTGGAGGAAAGTCCTGTGTGTGTGTTTGTACATGTTAGCATGCCTTTGCAAATTAGTTTTTAGTACCTAGCATAAACCAAAGCATTGCACAAATGTTTATTTTAACCTGATGATGGCACTAGATGAAAAATCTGTTGAGCCACTTTACTCAAAATCACAAATATGAACCTCATAGTGGTGCTTGAGGACAAGTCAGGGATCATCAAAGTCATTCAGATTCATTCTGTGACGAATTTGATGGCAAATTATCCAACAGTTAAGCTGTTTTATGGTAGTTGATCTCCCTGGCTTGAGTGACAATATGTTTTATATTTGCAAGCCAGTTTTTGTGATGTCATTTTCAATGGAACCAACGGGAGAACACGGGCTTACTGGGCCAAAGCTTCTTCAACTGACTTTTGTTCCCACATCTTGGTGACATAGTAAATTGACAAACAGGTTAAGGGTAATATGAACAGTTGACTACTTACCGCCTAAAGCTTGTTTCATTACAAAATCCATGATTACTGCTGATTCGTTATAGTTGTTCTCAAAAGCAAAGAGAGCTGAGCATGTAGCCACCAAGCCTGGGATCTCTGGGTGTCTTGATCCTTCTCACTTTCCCTTTCAGTCTTCAGTGACTCTCGTCTGGACCTGAGAGAGAAGAAATGAGAAATGACCCTTGACATTAAATACATATTAAGACATATTAATTGAAAAGCTTTCATTTCCAGTACATTGATAAAGACACTAAATACATAGATGGATCTACAATCTGCCAAGTATTGGACAGCGTGAAACAGCAGATCACGCTAATGTTACAACAGATAATTGGATCTTCTTAACACTTTCCAAACCTGTGTGACAGGAATCCCATTCTGGGAAGCACACAAATCAATACTGAGGCCATTTGCTCCAAGTCACTTATCTCAACTCAATACCAATGGATCAGTCATCTTCTATTGCTGACTGGTCATAAATATTTCATGGGAAATTAAAAGACGGGGTTGTTTTCTGTTTACATCCATCAAACTCATATATGACACACCTCCAACGTGCACCCAGGTTGAAAATCAACTTATGTCTGCACATGCTCCTGTGTATAAAAATACACACCTAGGTAAAGGAAATATTTATTTTCTAGTTAAAATCAATGGAACTGTGACTCAGTCACTTCCTGTATTTCCTCCATAGCTGCTAATACAAACTCTGGTTTCTGGTGCTTTCCGATGGCCATGTATGTAGTTTTGGGAACGACCATATGTTTCATTCTGCGAGTCATTGGCAACCAACTCATTCAGTCGTTTAGGTATGAGGACGTGTTGGATATATACAGTCTGCCAGCAGCTGTTGGGAAATGAACAGTCATTTAAAAACCCATTGTATGCAACTGGAGAGTGGATTCAGGCACACGCTCACTCAACCTGCATGTGTGTCTGTAGCCATGGTGTCAAATATATTAAGCAGTGACACACAGTTGTGAATATAGTTGGCCATTAGGGGAACTGGAGCTGCAACTGAGCCTGGCTGCTCATTGGCTTATGCGGAATAAGATGCCCTGTTGCTATTGTGTCCCTGCATACTCTCACTCTTGCCCCTGTATCTATTTGATAAACTGTTCTTCTGCACCAGTGTCGACCAAGATGAAATCCTCCACATTTATTGCACCTGGCGAACCAGAACACCATTTCCATTTTGAAGCAGATCCCTCCTGCTCTGCTCGCCGAGCGCCCGGTGTCATTTCGCTACACCAATATTTGCCGGAGCTGAATAGAGCTGGGATGAGATGGGATGGGACGGCAGATTGAGCTGCACAGCTTATTCTGGGAGGCAACAGGGGAGACGGGGCCGAGCGGGACGACAATCCATTTGTAACTGTGACCGAGCGCTTCAGGGGGTGAAGCACCTCATTTCCATACACACACGCACAATGAGGACACACACACACACACACACACACACACACACACCGTATTTCATTAACAGGAACACAAATGTACGATGGTACGCAATATGAGGAAAACAAATGTCACACCCTTCAGCTTGTGTGAGGAGAGGTGTGTATGCATACAAAACAATAGGTGTATATTCAAATATGTGATTTTATAGAACTGAAAGAATGGATTAATGATGAATTATTTGAGAGATTAAATCATTACTAAACTAATATAATATAACATGTCACCATCCTAAAGACTTGTGATCAGGCCATCATCGAATTAATGAGTGCATCACAGTAAATAAATACGTTGCAAGGTAAATCCTCATTTTAATGAAAAGAAATAACTTTATTTTATACTTTATAAACAAATAAATAAAGTCCAATAAAAGCATCTAATCAGTGGTGGTTGGTGACTATGACAGCAATGTAAATTTATATTTTGGTCAAACAGTTCCTAAAAAATTTGAAAAAAAAAAACTATAACAAAAATTAAATAATTAAATGGCTGTTTAAAAGTTTACAGATTCACATTCCTCATCTGTTCTGTCGCTTGCAGTTTGAATGTGTATTAATGTACACTAAATATATATATATATATAAAGGCCTATATTTGATATACTGTCCCTTGTAAACATCATTGCCCCCCGCCACTCGGTCAGAGTCCACAATCATTCACGGTCCAGCTGTTATACTCATTTTATACTACACTGTATGCCGTGTTCTTCCTTTTAACACTTCATGCAGCTGAAAGAGGACAAAACAGAGGGTTTTTATAACCTTTGTATAACAGAAGAAGTATAGTAAGAAAAGAGGAGTCAGCTGGATGAAATCTATAAACCAACTTATAGTTTTTCTTATATCACATTTAGAAACGTGCTTGTATTTAACATTATCTTACATTAATGTATTTGTTATTTATTTTATTTATTTAGCGACTGTGGCTTCATTTGGAGTTTTGATTGTGTTTTGTCTTACATCAATAGATGACAATACAGTAGGCAGGCAATATATATTATACGGTGTGCGTGTGTGTGTGTGTGTGTGTGTTTGTGTGTGGCCTCTGGTGTTTGTGGTCTGGCAGCAGAACATTTCTCTTATCGATACAGAAACAGACTCAAGAACTCGCTAATGGAATAAAAGGAAAGATGCTGCTGTCAGACAAGGACATCTGGAAGAGAAGGACACACACACACACACTTGTGTATTGAGGGCATTCAGTTCCGAACCTTGACATTGAAGTCATAATCCGTGAAAATAAATTATCTGCGATCAGTGAGTCCCGGTTTTGTTTCCAGTTGGATTGAGATCTGTGGATGTGTTCCTTTTTAAAATGTGGTTTTAATAGTAGAAAATAAAGAAGATATTGCGTGTTTCTGCCCCCTTTACCACCATCTTTTCAACCTTTTTCTAACCCCGCTTTCTATCTTTCTGCCTCATTAGACTCTCTCTCTTTATCACTGGTTTCTGTTTTTGTCTGTCTGTGTTATCTCTCTGTCACTCATCATTATTTCACTTGTTTGCCTTCTTCCTCTCTCTTTTTATTACTGGTTTCTTTCCCTCTTAGTCTCCATTTCCAGCAACACACGCACTAAACACACACACCATATCCCTCATCCTCATCTCTTTATGACCTAACCCGTCCCTTTTTCTCTGGTGCAGACATGTACAGTCAATACACAGCGTACTTTACACGCCCAGGTACATAGAGCTGCAACGATTAGTCTATTAATCGATTAGATGTCAAATATTCCTGCCAACTCTAACTTAAGAATCGATTGATTGTATTGAGTCGTGTTTTTATCATTGACAAATTAAACTGGAGAATCCATCTCACCACGTTTCAAGCTATGGCTTGATGTCAAACCACAGTGTTTAAACCGATCAGCATCCTTGAGGAACTACTAGCAGCTACGGGCATGGTTTAACTTCAACTTAAAGAAATATGTGACTTATTTAAATTGGTGCAACGCAGTCTCCACCGGTACTCCTTCCCCTCACCCTCTACCTGCACACTGAAACCTCTCTAATACGACAGAACCAGGTTGACACAATCTTAGAAAACCCGTCATCTGAGAAAGACTGGAACAATTCATCACAGCGTTATCGTGTGAAATGGAGGAGCGCCACTCTGCCTGCCTCCATTTACATCCTCATCAGAAACCAGAGGCCTGAACGGCGGCTCGTTATGTAAGAGGGCGAGAATCAGTGGGCGTTTGGCGATGGACTGGAAGCTGAAGCAGCTCTCCATACAGCATACTGAACTTCTCTATTGTGTTGATAGTGGAGTGGAGTTTAAAACCTTACATAACCCTTCCTTTCACACAGGGCCAAATATACCATACAATCACTGACGACAGCACCCAAAGGCATTCCCCCCTCCCGCCCTCCCCTCATTCCCATCCCATCCTCAGGCCCCAACATTTTCCTTCCATCCTCCACCCACCTTTCTTCTTCTTCTTTCGCCTTCTTTTTTTAATTTCATAATCCAAGCCGCTGTCAGCGTGCGGTGACGTGGGATAAATGTAATCAGGCCGGGCAGGACTACCGCTGATCCTACCAGTTATTGGAAGTTGTTCCGAGTTTCACGCCCGGAGACGGGAAGGGAGCGGCTCGGAGGGCGAAACATGATCTGATCAACGTAACTGTTGGGCGAACAGCGAAGGAACTGTAGAGGGGAGAAAAGAAAGAAAAGAAAAAAGGGGGGAAAAGCTTTAATTATTGCAGTTTTCAGTTCAAGATACAGGTCCATTACAGGTTAACAACCAAGCATGGAAACACACACAACTGACCTATGCCTGGTGATGGAATTGAAACATATCTGTCATACAAAACTCATTACTCAGTTTTTGCATTTCATTTTCATTTTCAGCTGTATAGTGCATGCCTGACATATTCATATTGTTATTTTATTGAAAGAACCCATAAAAAAAGCTTAAAACCAAACAACGTAACTGGTAACTGGTATTTTTTAGCAAATGCTCGCTCGAAAAACAGGAGGCGATACTGTTTCACGGGATATGTTCAATGGCAATTTAATCCACATTTGCCTAGGAGTAAGAAGGTGTAGTGAGATGAGTTAAAATAAACTACAGTGTGGTGTTGTGTGTGTGTTCAATAGTACTGAAAGGAACATTCAGTGCAACATGGTGGCTCTGATGTGGTTTCAGTTTTTTGGACAACACAGAGCTCTATCGAACGAGGAAGAAATACCATCAGGCTTTGATACACACACACTAGGGATTATTAAAAACACTGGCTGTGAGTTTTGGACTACACAACCGATTTCTCCTTCGGTTTCTTGCCTTGGACGCAAGGGTGGAGACGAGGGAGTTTGTAATCTTCCCGCAAGGATTTCTAAATCCCAAAAGTGACTGAATCTGTTAAAGCAGTAGTTTAACATTCTTGGAAATAATGCTTTTTCTTTCTTGCCGAAGTTAGACAGAGAACGTCATATCGTCCATCCAGTTAGCTTAGCTTAGCATAAAAGACAAAAAACGGAAACTGAAGATAAACAATTCCACATACCAGTGCCTTTATTGAACAAATCCAACCCCGCAAAGTGTTCTTTTCATTCCTGCATTAACAGTCGTAGTGGTTGCAACATCCACATCCGCATCTCTGCTGCATAGGTGAATGTATGCAAAGTTCAATCACGCTGTTTTGAAAAAACCATGCTAGCTGTGTTCTGCAATCCATGTGTCAGACCCGAAAC